TCACTTATTGGTGGGAGCTAAAAATAAATAAATAAATTCACACACACACACACAAAAAAAACCGGGGGCGGGGGGAAGACTTAACAACTACAACTCCTTGAAGTTGATACGACAAGCAAACAGAAAGGACATTGTTGGGTGCAAAGGGGGAGAGGGAGGAGGGAGGTTTTGGTAATGGGCCACAATAATCAACCACATTGTATATTGACAAAATAAAATTTTTTTTAAAAAGTAGTAGCTTGCACTTGTACAATTATGAGTGCAAGTATGTGTATGTACTTTGTATGTACTTCAGTGTGAATGCCTGTTTTGGATTGCTGTACTCTTTTAGAACTAAGATAGCTAAACTCTAGAAAAATTAATCTGCATTGAGTTAGACTCAGCATTTTGAACTGGTATCATTGTGGTAGAACATTTGGAAATTACAGGAACATATAAAGAAAGAAAGGTTGTCCAGCAAAACCCCTTTCTAGGTATCTGACTTGGGCAAGGAACGGAACATTCAATATTCACAATTAGGAAACCAGTGCACTCTGACTGGATTTTCCTCACCAGAAGCTGGTGGCACAGACACTCTTAAGTGGCAGTGGCCCTAGCTAAGGCCGCTGCTGCCTGTGCTCACTGTGGGCCAGGCTCTTTTCCAGCAGCTGTGTGTCACTCTCACCCACAGGTGTGCGCACACGCCCCAGGGCAGGGCCCATCGCGGTCCCCACAGGTGGGTGTGAGCTAGTTAATAACATCAGCTTAGTTCACATCACTTTTGATATGTTTTAAAACACTATATATATGTACATATGTTTGTGTGTAAATACATGCATTGGTGGATTAATTTGAGAAATGGGTTGCGCATGTGTGTGCATGTTCAGAACCTGCTGCTGACGTGCGTATGTGAGTTCATGTGCTGTGTGCTTTCTCCATTGCTATTCTCTCTAAATTCTCCTAACTGCTTTTTTTTTTTGGCATGGGGGGGGTCTTTTTTCTTTTTTAAAAGAACTGACTTACTGAAATGGTGATTGACCAGGAAGAGTGGGTCACATAAATTAAAATTGTGATTCTAAAGTATTTAGAATTCAACCTACTTCTCTAATTATAAAAAGCCATTTGCTAATTTACCGATTCCTTTTCTCCTACAGGGAAGACAGCACCATCTTACTTTGTTGCTGTGCGATGGGGAGACCTTAATGAAAACAGGGCCTCCTGGGCATCCCTCACGTGTCGTTTCTTTTCTAGGTGGTAATGGCACTTCTCAAGTACTGGCCAAAGACTCACAGTCCAAAAGAAGTAATGTTCTTAAACGAACTAGAAGAGATTTTAGATGTCATCGAACCATCGGAGTTTGTGAAGATCATGGAGCCTCTTTTCCGGCAGTTGGCCAAGTGTGTCTCCAGCCCACACTTCCAGGTATGCGGTGCTCGGGAAAGAGAAGTCAGTTATTCCAGAAGGTTCATTGTGGAAGTGACCAGCTTCCGTGTGTGCCTGGTCGTGGTTTGCTCCTCATGTAATTTAAAGTAAAATGCAAGTTTTTACTTTAATTATACTTCAAAGTAGGATGCTGAAGCTTTAATTCTGTAAAATATACTTTGGCGTCTTGTCCCCATCCCTGAAAACGTTTTTCTCAAGAAGAGCAATTTAAAGTGGCTTCTCTGTAGAGCTTTGTCTCCATGTTCCGTGTGCTCCCGAGCTCATAAAACCTTAGTTCCCACAACTGACTCATCAGTATTAACAGATAACATGATGTTAAAAACTGTTGGCTCTGCGATTTTCTTTCTTCCTAAGCTCTTCATTTCGGGCATCGTGTAAATTCATCTCCCTCACCTTTAAAAACAACCCTGATAGTTCCGATCTTTGTCACGAGCACAGTCCTGTAGGAGACAGCCTCCTTAGGTGTCCGTTTCCACTGCCTTCTCCTGTTTCCTCCCACGCCCTTCAGGCTGGCCTTGGCTTTTGCCCCTGTAAGGCTTCCCAGCCTGCCTGCCTCCACCCGAGGCACGGCTGCCCACCTGTGTGTCACCGAGTGGACACTCGTGGTGTGCTCTTCGTGAGCAAGGTGAGATCTAGGCACAACATGAGCGAGGTCTCACAGCTTCCAGGGAGTCGGCCCCGCAGAGGGGAGACGTGTCAGCACCGCCCGCCTTCCGGCTGACGCTGGAGGGTGGCGGGGCAGGTGCCAGCGGCTGTGGAAGCTGCTGGGAGCCGCCACCACAAGCCCAGTGAGCAGAGCACGGGCCGAGGGCTCCTCCACAGTGAGCCTCTCAGGCAAGCTCTGAAGAGAGGGCATCAAAAGCAACAAAGTGAAGACAGGAGAGCAAGTGACGGAGAGTAACAAATGCTGTTTGTGTGGAGTGGGGGCAGTGACAGAAACGGAGGCCAGGTTAGGTCTTGGTTAAGGAGCAGAACTGCCGCGGTCCAGTCTCTTCTGTTGCAGGTAATCGAGTTAGTCTTGTTCTAAAAATTTCTGAGAGTTTTCAGTTTAAGACAGGAAATAGTGTTTTTCAAAGCTGACAGTATGAGCAGTTTGCAGAAATGAGCGTCATTTCCTAGAAGCTACAGGCACCAGCATCCCAGGACTCTGGCCAAGGAACAGGGCATTAGAGCACCAGGAAGAGACTAAGAGTCACTGGAAGTTTCCTGAGGACTTGAACCTCTTCCCCAGATGCAAAAATAGCTCCTGGTACGGGTGATGTTATACTTCCAAGAGAAGACAGACATGGGTGAAATCATCGTGTCATTTTTAATAAACGCACGTGACAGGAGAACAAGGAGGAGGGGGACAAAGGGGGGAAGGCAGAGTGCGAGGTGGCCGAGCAGCCTTCCTCCCACAGCGCCCCAGAGCGCAGAGGGACACTGAGGCAGGCCTGCGCCAGGTCGGACTCGCTGCAGGAGGGCGCAGGAGCGCCCACGGCCTTGCCGCACTCCACCAGCAGCTGCAGGCCCTTTCCCAGGGGCGGCCCCCACGCACGTTTCATCCCATCTTGGCTGCTGCTTCTTGCAGGACGCAGATCAGCACAAAGAACACTCCAGAATTTTGCCAGACATGTGTACATGCCAGCTCGTTCTTAATTTTTAGATTTCTTTTTCCATCAAAAAAAATTGCTGGTTTGGGGCCGGCCCGGTGGCGCACTGGATAGTGCGCCGCTTGGGAAGCGGGCGGCGCTCCCGTCGGAGGGTTCGGATCCCACATACAGACCGGCTCCCGCTCACTGGCTGAGCGAGGCGCGGGAGCAACGCCGAGGCTTGCGATCCCGTTGCCGGTCCCCGGTCCGGTACGGGGGCAACACTGAGGGTTGCGATCCGTTGCCGGACACGGAAAAAAGACAAAAAGACAAAAAAAAAAAAAAAAAAATTGCTGGTTTTAAAAACTGAAGAAAAATTCAAAACTCAAACTATCGAGCATCTTAAGCTTCTGTTTTCTAATCCAGGCTTAAAATATTATCCCCAAATATATTTGCAGATAGATAGTAGATGCTTTTTAAAATACAAAGTATAGAACTCTTAAATAAAAATTGTCCTAGAAGCCATCAGTGCTCTTGTTAACCTCTTCTTTAATTCACGCTCTGTATTCTTGGATATGCCCCTGTCCTTTAGCCCACTCACGCCTGTCCTGTGAAGCTCATCACAGCTGCCTCCCTCTGAGAAAGCATCTCTGGTTCCTAAGCCTGCCGCATCCTCGCCCACATTCTCTCCACATCCCACCTGCACACACTGCACCGTGATCTCAGAATTTCTAGGCTGTAGGCTTCTGGTGGCAGAAATGTCATCCCGCCTCTGCTCAGAGCCTGCGGGTGCTGCTGTTAGATCTGTGCATCTGTAGGTGTGGCGACGGCATGTGGTTATGTAGGAAAGGCTCCTCTTCCCAGGGGAGTGCATTCTGTGGGGGGACAGGCTCAGTGTCCTGGTGACCACAGAAAACTCAGATAGTTCCACAGACCATTCACTCGTGCGCGAGGTGACTAGAGAGAGCAGCTATGGCAGAGGGGATCAGTCGCTGAATCGAGGTGGAGGGGGTGGCTGCTCATTATGCTAGTCTCTCAGCTTTGCATGTCCTTGTACATTGTAGTAATCATAACGGGGGACCCTCCGGTAGCTTTCCATCCGCCCGGAGTGAGGGCCACGACACTCGGGCCCTGTGAGCGCCTCAGTGGCCTCGCTGCCCCGTGCCGCCTCCTCTCACTCCCCTGCTGTCCTGTTGGTGCTGGCGTCTCAGGACCTCTTCTTCCTCGGGTCCTTGCTCACATGTCTCCTCCTCCACAGGGAAGCCACTCCCCCACTGCCTGTCCCCCTTCCCTGCTGCCTTTTGCCGTGTGACACCATTTCTAGTGAATTAATCCCCCAGCATCTCTCCTCCTCTGGGACGTCTGCCCAGGGAAGGCGACGATTTCTCCTCGCCGTGCTCACTGCCGAGTGCTTGGTGCTGAGTGCACACGCCAGGGACCGAACTAGTGTGGGGGGACGGGCAACAAATGGATGGATGAACGCCTGTGACCTGCATCCTCAGCACCTAGCCCAGTGCCGAGCATAAAGGTTTATCGAGTAAATGAAGAGGTGAGTTGTAGGTATTCTTGATTCCTATGTACAAGAAAGTATCTGCCTCTTTGTTGAAGGCTCTTCGAGGTTACAATTGAATTTATAGAAACAATTGTAATTTTCTGACCCGGTGTGATTCTTTATTCTACTTGCAGGTTTGAAAGTAAGGATGTTTGCCTAATGTCTTTAGCATGACCACCAACAACAGTTATGCACTCTTGTCTTCCAGGTGGCAGAGCGAGCGCTGTATTACTGGAATAATGAGTATATCATGAGTCTAATCAGTGACAACGCAGCAAAGATTCTGCCCATCATGTTTCCATCCTTGTACCGCAACTCAAAGACCCATTGGAACAAGTAAGAAAGAACTGGCCGACGTCTTTTCCAGTCATTTTTAAATGTTGCATATTTTTCTGATACTTCAGTGAGAATCAAAATCCAAATTTTAAATATGAGTTAAAAAGTGAAGACGTTGATTTCTTTGTGGCTTATAAATTACACAGCAGTGTGGATTGTGTCCGTGACCTTCCATGTTGCCTCCTTACCCCACTTCACACCACCACAGGGCACGTCTGTTGGCCCCACGTCCTGCCGGTTCCAGCGGCGGCGGCGGCAGTGTCCTGCAGGCCTAAGTTCCCTCTGGACGAGCGGAGGGTATGGCCCAGTCCCAGCAGGAGCACAGGGGCCACCTATTGTTAAGGTGGCCCCTCGAGCTTTGCTGACACACCCTGGGTGAGCCCCTCTGTGAGGCCCAGCAGCCACCCTGCTGTGTCACTGCCTGGAGGACCAGAAGGAAGAGCAGGTGGCCTGGACACACCCAAGCAGTCGGAAGCTTGCACTTAATTAATTAATTTAATTAGTTAATCTTCTGAGACATTAAAAGGAAACTATCGGATATGGGTGTCATATTATTTTGTAATACTAAATTTAATGCTCATGTTATTTCATTTCATCTTCTTTCATTTCTTTCCTTGTATGTTATAATCATAAATCAGAATTTAAAGTAGGAAGAGCAAATCCGTGATATCTGGTCCTACTCCCTTATTTTACAGACAAGGAAAGCAATTCTTGGAGGGAATAGGCAGCCTGACGTGCAGGCACAGAGCTGGTTAGCAGCCCCCTGGGTCCAGCGTGGTTCCTGCCTCTCGGCGTCTGTTGCCTGCACCTGCCTCTGCTCGCCCTCTGTCCCTGCTTGCCAGCGGCTACGGGCAGCACTGCCTCCTTCCCAGGATCAAGGCCCAAGGCAGCAGCCAGACAGCTGTTACCTGGAGCACTGAGCCAGACCACAGAGCAGAGACCTCTGAGCGTTGGCCGTCCAGGAGGTGACCAGAGGAAAGCAGACAGATCAGAGTCGAGCAGATTTTGGTTCACATTCTTGCCCCGCTGCTGACTAGCTGTCTGGACCTAGGCAAGTTAGATCTCTCTAGATCTTTCTTGGCCACAGTTTCCTCATCTGAAAAATAGAGAAAGTGCTTTGCTTTGTAGCAATTCTCACCTGCTTGTGAAGATTAAATAAAGTTAATGTATCGAAGGAGCCTGGCACACAACAGGCGTGGAGTGAATGTCTGCCATCCCTGCGTAGCTTTAGGACTAGCAGTGGTGCTCACAGCAGCCGCCATAACCACTGAAGCAACAGCATCGAGACATAGTTGTTAATATATCGACTGTTAACAACCATTTCTTTATAAAAAACATCTTTTTTATTGAGCACAACAGATGATAACAGAGGCCCTCAGAGTTTAACCATATTTCCTGTGTGTAATTTAGTTTGGAGTGAAAGTCAGCACAACTAGTAACTGACTTTCAGTTTCTGTCAATTGCAAAGAAAGAAATATTCTTTTAAGCATTTACCAAAAAAGATCTGGGTTTTACTATAAAGTGGATCAAAAAGTAGCTATGATTTGAGAATTAAGTTTTTTGAATTTTTTTGTTTGTTTTTTAACTTCTGTTGTATTACTGCTCACAATCCTGCGGGTCGACCAGACTCTGCTGGGCAGTTTTTCTGCTGATCTCCCCAGGGGTCATGCGATTGCAGTCACATGGCAGCTGGGACCACTCGACAGGGACACTGGGGTGGCTGGGCCTGCCTCTCTCCCTCTCTATGTGTAGCCTGAAAGCTGAGTTCTGATTAAGCAGTTTTCTGGTAATTTTATTTTCTACCTTCCAAAGCTCTAGTTTGGCATTATTAAAATTAATTTTTCTGCCCTCTGGATAAGATTGAAAGGAAACTGATTTGTAGGAAATAAAATGTTTATGTCACTGTCCTCGATTTAATTTATCTTAATGATGTTTGTTGAAGTTTCAACTTTTTTATTCCATTTCTAAGCAATGCAGCTTTTGGCTACTGTCGGCTGAGACAGTAAACCAAGTGGCCTGATGTCCTTATATGAGAGTGATTGTGAAGGAAGAATCTGCAGGACGGTGTGGCTGACTCTAAGGAAACAGAAACGAATGAATCACAACTAACAGGCTTTCCATTTTAAAGCTTAGGAAAGTTGTGAAATGTGGGACTATTGAAATACGAAATCGCCTGGAGAGGAGAGGGATTGTGACAGAGGAGGGGGGAGAAAGATAAAAAAAGATCAAGTATTCCAAGTTTCATCATGAAGTTTTCTTTATAGGACAATACACGGCTTGATATACAACGCCCTGAAACTCTTCATGGAGATGAACCAAAAACTGTTTGATGACTGCACCCAACAGTTTAAAGCAGAGAAACTGAAGTAAGTTGCTCCTTTCATGAATGTCTGTTTCTAGGATTATTGGTTTATATTGAATAAATCTCTTCCATTGTTTTGTCCTAAAAAGTTATTCTTCACTTTGAAACAAAACCAGTCCTCTCATACTTGGAAAGCAAATTAAACCTTTGTAATAATAACTTATTTGTAAAGAACACATGTTTAAAGTTAGCTATTCTGTCCCTCATATTACTAGTTTAATCGTCTTTGTGAAAAGTGCACGTGTAAGCAAGAATTTGATATTCAGAATTTTTACTTTATCAGGGGACAGTTAAGGGCTATAATGTGTTGTAATTTTTCATATTCATAAGGCAGGAATTTGAACTATATCCTCTAAGGCTAATATGAGAGAACAAGAATCTTTATTTTAGTGTAGCTTTATTATTCAGATTTAATGATCTCCATAAATGTGAGCATTCTCTGGAATCTAGTCTGTCCTTCCTGGAATCAGGGATAGAGACATAAGATTTACTTGTATAAGATTCTTTTAAGAATTTAAATTCTTAGACGTTAAATTTTTAGCAATTTTATTGTTTAAAGTCTTTAAATCTTGGTCGATTTTTTTAAATTTCGTTTTTCATGTTACATACTATAAGAACAGAAAACAACAAAGGAAAAGTAGATGACTGCGTTGCTGGCGTGTCTGTGCTTTCTCCTCTCTACTGTGTTCTTGAACAGGATTCATCTCGCTAATACAAATGACGTTTTACTATTTTTCAGAGAGAAGCTAAAAATGAAAGAACGAGAAGAGGCATGGGTTAAAATAGAAAATCTAGCCAAAGCCAATCCCCAGGTACTGAAAAAGAGAGTAACTTGAAACACCTAGGGTGTTACTTGAATGTTTTTATAAGATAGGAATATAGCTTCATCATGGGATGGAGGGAAACCAATTTCACTTATATTGTATATGAAAATATCTGCAATAAAAAATACTTTTCAACTTTGTAACCCTCCTCTTGTACAAGTACTTATTTTGCCCCACAACATTTTTACCACAGAATTGACTTTTTTCCTCTGCTTTTTAAATAAAGATGTGAATCTTATGAATATACTGTGGTAAAAAGAAAAGCAGGACGTAACTTCTGTTTTGGACCAAGGTTGCAGTTTGCTTTCTCTTTCAAGTGTCATGGATGCCACATCTCAAACAATATTTCCCTTTCTTTTTAATATCAAATGAATTCTAAAAGAAAGGAAATTAGATTTGAGATAGATTAAGTATGAAATTGATGTCCTCTTTCCTAAAACCAAGTTTCTGTAGGCTCGGACTTTTATTGTTAAAAATTAACTGATCTGCCGTAATTGGCAACTAATCCTTTCTCCTGCCCTAGCCAGTAGGTGCCAGTGTGCTCTAGCAAGTTAGCACAAACGATCAAGTCTTCTGGAGCTGCCATGGTCTGGGAGGGTTTCATAGTTGTGGTCTTTGGTTTTATGCACGTGGGCCTAAGCGATCAGAGCATTATCACTACAAGTGTCTCTCTTGTCCCTGTGCCTATCTGATTATAACATCGCCTCTTGATGAAAACCATCTGAAGCTTTGCCAGACTAAGAATTCTCAGGCTTTCCTCAGCTCTCCAGGAGGAGAAAGTATTTTACTAATCCATATATTTCTTTTGGCAAGAGGTATGCCTAAGTAATTATTATCTAAGTTGGTATGTAGACTCTTAAATCTCTCTGACATTTAATAAAAAGTGATATATGAGTATGAAGTTCAAGTATATACTTTACCTATATAACAGCATATTGTTCTGTATTCCCTTTGACAAAACTATAATGGAGAGACTTAAACCATAGGACAGTTGAGTAACATTTTTAACTGTATGTCCTTGATTCCACCTAAAACACATAACCAGCATTTTTCTAACAGTATTTATCCACACTCTTATAGAAACGCCGTTTGAAGGTAACCATCTGAAAGCGTGTAGTACTTAGCGGAGGTAGACAGCTACAGGTAGTACTTACTTTAATGAATAGAACTTATGTTGAAAGTAAGGTTGAAGTACCGATATTCGTTTTAAAACAGTAAAACCATAAATCTGGGGCAGGTCTAGATGATCTGCCTGGCCTTGCTCCTGGGGGTCTTGCTTTGTTCTCAAGGGCCCCGTGCCAAGGGGGTGCAGACAGGCGTCCGTGAGGATTGGCAGGAAACCCAGCATATACGCAATAGAAGTCAGCAGCCTTGAAAACACGTAAAATACATACAAACCAGAGGGTCGGATATTATTTACTTTACCCAGAATATAGAAATAACCTGTTGGAAAAAATTGCATAGAACTTTTACACTACATATTAAGACGAGCTGGTCATATTAACAAAGGTGGCTTGGCTTCACTGCTGTACTGCAACAAATGTTCCTTCTGAAACACATATCGTTCTCTTTTCCCTTTTTCTGAACTTTTCCTGAGTTTTCTCAAGTAACTTTTTTATTCATTTTGTTGCTCTCTTTAAAATGTCTGAGGTGAAAACATAAATGTAGTGGGTTTTGCATTGGGGCTTTGGTGGCCTCCCGTAATTCTGTGACCTTAGCGTTGTCCTGATGCTCATCTCTGTGTTGAAACCATCTGTGACTCAGTTGCCATGAGTCCCGTCTGCATGTTCCATGTAGTGCCTCTAAGTGGAAAATACTTCATGGGTTAATGCCTCAGAGCTGGAAACCATGGCCCCAGGACTTTCCATTGGCTTGACAGAAAACCTTTTCTGAATTCTGATCCCTGCTTGCCATTCAGCAACAAAAACAGGTAGACAGTTTGGGGAGAATACAAGTTTATTTCTGTAACAAAAAATAATTGGGTTTGAAGCTTGGTTTTTTCCATCTCACGTCTGCCTTTTTGAGAATTGATCTGCTGGAGTCATTTTCTTAAGGTAGATTCCCAATAATTCACTGTATGTTCAATGGTGTCTGCCTGGAAGTCCCCCTGATGCTTACCTGTGCTCTCTACAAACCAGACATTTCATCTGCTCAGCGACGTGAAAGCACGTCCCTGTTAGGCGTGGGCGTTTGGGGAAATTATGGCGCCTTCGGGATTTTGTCTTGTTTTAGCATTTGTGGCATGAAAAGCTCATGGGAGCTTTTTAATATCATACATGATTTAAGTTTTTAAAATCATGAAATCTTGAAGATTTCTAACGTAAATGTGCTTCTCCTAACCCACAAAAAGAGGCCGTGTAACATGTTCCTGCTTACCCCTGACTTCATGGGAATGGTGTGAACTGGAGACAGGCACTTCTGGAACTTTAAGCGTAGCCGGGGCTCAGTGTTTCTCTCCCTTTGCAGCCACCAAGACAATGCCGCAGGAGACACAGGGCCAAAGGTCTGGGCTGGATGGCTGCCTTTCCTTTGAGAGATGAGCTGCTGTGGGGGAATGTGCATTTGTTTACTCTGTTATGAACGTCAGCCTCAGTGAACAGTTTTATTCCTAGTAAGACTCCTGTCCTGCCAGTGCCTGCTCAGTGACATCTACTTTGCTGTGAACATTCTGTAGCTTCCTTGTTCGAGGACACTGTCCCTCACCCTGAGTGCCACTGAGGGCCTGCTCTGAGAACAGGCTGTGGGCGGGTTCTGTGGAAAGCACCTTTTCTCTTGGAAAAACTAAAAGCTGAAGTATATTGGTTCAAAAGCAAGTCCGTGCACCATCTCACGAGTGCTGCAGTTATTTATGTTTCTGTATCTCCCACTAATTGTGAGCCCCTTGAGGTTGAGGCACCATGTGTCCTGAATCATGGAAGTTTCCAGAGTTACAAAGATGAGAACCAGACCCAGCCCCGGCCTCAAGGAGCTTACAGTCCGTTAGGGAAGCCAGACGTAAGCAAACAGAACCGAGCTCAGATGGTCGGATTAGGAGCGGTGTGCTGGGGAGACAGCAAAAGGCCTAGTCCACTTCTCTGCAGAGAGGCACGTAAAGAAACCATGTGGGTACAGGGTGGCCACAGCGGCGGGGTGCCCGGGGTGCTGGGAGCTCGGCCCATGAGGGGGCTGGGCCCCTCAGAGTCTTGACTGAGTGGGATTTGACAGTGGATTCTGGGGCAGAGAGAAGAGTAAGGAAGCCGCACGTTGTGGCCCCAGTGGGGTGTCAGGCCTGGGGAGGGGCCGGGTGTGGTCTGCGGTAGAGACAAGCTGGAGGGAGGTGGGAGAAACTTAGACTCTATCCCAAAAAATGTGAGCAAAATTAAAGAGCTACAAACAGCAGAGGGGCCCAGTCACATGTGCATTCTCCAAAGCCCTTGTGGCAGCAAAGTAGCAGGTGTGCTGGGAGGCGGGGCCAGCGGGGTTCTTGTAGAAATGAGTGAAATGGGGGTGCTGGGCAGAGTTGATGGGAGTGAGGGACAGAGGGCTCCGAGGGGAACTGGGGGCCTGGTGCTGGGGAAGAAACCGAGCTGAGGACGTGGCTTCAACTATAAGTAGCCTTTTCTCAAAGACTGAAGAACAGGGATGGCCAAGTGGCCCAGAGTGGGGAAGAGAAGGGTGAGCGGGGAGGGGTCACACAGGACATGTGTGAAGGGGCAGAGGACAGAGGAAAGAAGCCGGGGAAGCCGGTGTCACAGAGACAGGGGAGGGGACGTTTCAGGTACATCGTACCCAGGAGAGGTCCAGTTCAATAAAACTACCAGATGGCTTAGCAGCCAAGTGGTGGCTGAGCACCCAGTGCCAGCAGCTGCATCAGTGAGGTGAGGGCCAGACCCAGACTGCTGAGCTGAGTGGCCGGGAGGGCGGGGAGGGGAGCTGCGGGGACCCGCTGTGGATGCTGGCCAGGGCCAGCTGAGGCACAGAGGGATGGAGTGTGCATGGAAGGTCCCCTGGCCTCCCCGTGCCCCGGGTCTCCCATCAGTCCAGTGAGAAGGGTCGTGCACGCGTCGCCAGTTGTCACAGGACGAATGGAGCACTTAGCCCAGTGCCAGGCTCATGGCAGACACACGCTTGGCCTCACCCCCACAGAGAGGAGACACCAAACACTTGCTGTTTCGTGTACCTTGTCGCCTGTTAACCATCACAGCAACCCTGTGTGGTGGTCTCATCCCCACGTTCCCCACGGAAACAGCAGAGGGAGTGATAGGAAGTGTGTAGATGAGCCGAGGGGACCCCCGCCGACAGGGCATCGTGGGTGCGTGGGGACACCAGCCCTGCCCCCAGCACCAGACAGGCTGGCTGAGTGGAGATGAACTGTGCATTCATTCATTCACTCATTCATTCATTCGGGTAGAGAACAAGGACTGAGAATGTGATGAGGGAAAGCGAGTTAGCAACACGAGGGCAGTGCTGAGAAAAGACAATAAAGGGGAGAGAGGAGTCGGGGCCAGCCTCTGCGAGGCGCTGCGAGGATACAAGGAAGGACCGTGAGGTTAGCAGGTCGTGCACAGAGTGCCAGGCTGAAGGGGAAGTCGCGGTGGGGAAGCCCTTCCTGGTGACCAAACCCAGCGCCTACCCTCGTGCTTGCAGGCTCACGTGGGGTCAGGACATTAGGCTACCAGGTGGGCTGTGGGCCACCTGCCCACCAGGCACTGGGGCCTGGGCAGGGGCTTGGGAGTGACCCCAGGGCCAGCACAAGACCCACCTGCTTTGCTCTCCCCACCCGAGTGCGACCTGGATTGCAGGAGAGACGGCTTTCTGGTTTCCATGCGGCGGCAGCAGGGCCATTGGTGCTGCAGTTGTAGGCGAGTCTGTCTCCTGTCGAGTGGGCTTCATGCAGAAGAGGGCCCTGGGGGAGGGCAACAGGGTGAGCCCCTGGAGCTGAGAGGCGGAGTGCCTACAGAGAGTGATTCCACACTTTGCATTGCAGTACTCAGTGTATAGTCAAGCGAGCACCATGAGCGTCCCGGTGGCAATGGAGACAGATGGGCCTTTATTTGAAGATGTGCAGATGCTGAGAAAGACAGTGAACGACGAGGCTCGTCAGGTAAAAGTGCCAGAGCTCAGCTGGGACGTGCTCCTTGTAGATTTGCTTAAGAAATGCATATCATTTTAGTAGGGGACGTGGTATACAAAACTGGCTTCTGTTTTAGCTAAAATTAAAAATTAAATTTTGGTAATCTTGTAGGAATCATTTTATCCGTAGATCTTAGTGATCAAATTACTAGAAACAGTTTTTAAGGATTAAGCATGTGCCTGAGATTTGTTTCTTCATTTACCTTAACAGTAATCCCAATTCTTAACTATTCCTTAAATGTTAACTTGAGCAAAATCAAAAGCTTCGCAGTAATGTCTTTCCCCTCGCTTTTCTCTTTGCATCCCTCTGACTTCTGCCTTGACCCAAAGACATTCCCCTCCAGTTCTTCATCGCAGGTACCAGCACCCTTCCCGCCCCAGGACACCAGGGAAGAGCTGCTGTCCTTGTCCTCCCCCAGGGCCAGCAGAACACACTGTCAGTGCCTCTGTTGCAGGCCAAGCTCTGCCACAACCTCCTCATGGAATATCCGTGCCCTACTGGCTTTGTTTTCATTGTTGTGGAAATAAACATTTAGACCATCACTGATCCAAAGAGAGCCTCTTATTACTGAACTGGGAATGTATGCAGTTAGGCTTTAAAGAGGGTAGTTTACTAAGTTCCTGCCTGGGTTTGAGGAGCCTTTGAATTGCTGTGCCTCTGGGCAGGCCTCCCTATTTCAAGTGCATGTAAAAAAATGTAGTCCTAGGTGGATGTGGGGACACTGGTCTTGCTGATTTAGAAACTTTAACCCCCTTTGACCAGTGAAAGAATTCCTAAAGACACCCAGCACTAAAATTCTGAAATGTAAACAGTGACAGTGGCTAAAATCACCCCATTGTCGCATACTGTATACTCTGTGCAGATGATTTGTAAGTGCTTGTGCCATGTGGAGCTCAACTAAACAGAGGAGGGTTTTGGGGTTTTTTTTAATTTATTTATGTTTGATTCCAGTAAGTCGTATTCCCCACCTGATCAGGCCGGATGAGGTGTCACCAAGAGCACAGGATCAAGGCACTTAGAGCCGCGCCGTCCCACACGTGGCTGCAGAGCACTCGAGACGGGGCAGCCCACTGCGGGCTGTGCTGTCAGTGCAGAGCACACACATGCATTCTAAGCCCAAGCATGAACACAAGAATGTGAAAGCATCTTGTTTATAATTTTTTTACTATTGATTACATGTTGAAATGATCATGTTTGGGATATACTGGGTTAAGTAAAATATATTAAAATTAATGTCACCCATTTCTTTTTACTTTTTTAATGTGGCTACTAGAAGATTTGGGATTCCATACATGGCTGGCCTTATATTTCTCACGGTGCTGTGCAGGGAAAGGGCACTGTTGTGCTTAGCCATGTTTATCTGCCTCTTCTTGCCCAGCTAGTCCCTCAACTAGTTTAAGATCAAAAATAGGTGAATGAATGCTGTTTCAACTAATCAAAGCTTGAAAATAATAAAAATAAACTGTAAAAGCTCAGTGAACACCTAGTGAACATCAATAACTTGTTATCTAATCCAGCTGGATTTCATACTTTCCTCACAATTAATATTCTTAGCAATGAATAGATTTCATCAAAAATAAGAAAATCCATTTATTTTTCTCTATCTGTGGGGGTGTTAATTTTCCTACTTGATAAATATATTTTTTTTTTCTTTCCTTTTTTAACCTGGATACGAATTCAAGGTCACCTTTTCGATTACATTTCCATTTTATGGCATGCAAGCTGGCCACATCACCTGCAGACAGGCAAAAGGAAATCAGACTGGGAATTTGCAACCACATGTGCATTTTTAAGACACTTAGGCCATACAAAATTGAAAAGGAGGTTGATAGTTTACAGGCCAGTTCTAACATGTTAAAATATTTCAGGTTTGGGAAATTTTTCTTTTTGGTATATCCTTCGACTTAGGTCACAGTGAAACCTAGGAAAAGAATAAACTATGCCCAAAATGTAAACCTGAAAACCTGAAATGTGAACTGAAAGTTACGGACATATTTACAGTTTAGGTCCTACTCTGTAGGAAATCAAGGACCTGATCCAGAACGCAAATCAAAATAGCAATCTTATCTAAAGTAAAAGTGCTTTTGAAAGTTGTCTCTAGTATTCATATGATACCCAGTGCCACGAAAACCTCTCCACTGGTCAATCTGTCCTCTGCCCTTAGAAAGGCACATGTCCCCTTCCCAGCAGATCACCTATATACTCATGAGAAGGAATCAAGTCACAGCAGTCGTCTGCCCATTTAGTTCTAAGTGGATATGTAGACAGGAAATTTCTTGGAGAACTTCTATAGCATGCTTGCTTCCGTGTTTGTTTTCACAGTTTTTGAAATTACATTCTATAACTGAGTTTTCTATAATTGACATTCTTACAAAAATGATCCCCCCACCTTATGTTTAGATTTCTGTGGATCATGTTTCTGAGTCGGAATGCTCAACGCCATCAGGATATCAGTTCTCCCCAAATTGATATAGTCTTAATTAGAGTCCCAGCAGGCTTTTTTTTTTTCCTTAGGAAATTGACAAAGTGATTCTAAAACTCATGGAAATGCAAAGGACCTTTGATAGCCAAAACAACTCTGAAAAAGAACAAAGTTGGAAGAGTAACAACACCACCCAGTTTTAAGTCTTTTAGATTTCTGTGGATCAATTGAATTTCATTGAATCAACTGATTTCAGTTGAATCTCAGCCTACGTAGATAAAGATATTTATGAAGTGCAGTCTCTTGAGTATGATATTTGAAATGATAGACCCTTCTTAATTTGAAAATGCTTAGGGTCATTTTCCTGGAGTTCTCAAAAACACTCTTGTTAGAAGGTACAAAGATGCAGGAAAAATGTATGTGCACAATTTGGTGGCCAAATTGGCACAAGAGGTCATAGCTAAAAATTAAGCTTTTTGATTTTTATCTTAAAAAACTTGAATATTTTAATGCCTTTTAATTTTATTTTTACGTAACTTTATTTTTCCAAAATGATCTGCATTTCATTAAAATGACTTGAGTGTTGGGTCAGGACAAGGGTGAGAGGTAGATGATAGTATCACAGAAGCGGGGAGGAGGAGACCCTAATTAGTGCTAATGGGATGTAGCTGGATTTTTGTGGAGAAATTCAACTACGTATTTACCTGTCAGAACCATTATTTGGATTTCCTTTGAGAAACTTGTATAACCCTATACAGAACATCCAAAGAAAACTAGTAAATTTCATGTGAATGACATTTATATCAGAGACATTTAAAATGTTGACAATTCTCATTTTCAGCAGTTGATCGGGAGAAAAGCAGTGTCAAGCATGCAAGTGAGGAAGGTGTAGAGACGACAGGTGCACAGTGCAGGTATTCGTTGCTAAATACATAGAGAACATTTAAGGCTTTCTATCTAGGGAAAGAATTGACCAGTTAACATTGTGTACATGAAGTATTTTCCCTTTTTTTCTATGTCATTCCACCTTGTGCTCAAGACAAAGTTAAAGGAATTTGGACCTTTAAGAAATGTTGATTAGTCCTGTTCTAAATTTAGGAGTAACATTTGGACTTACACCTTTGTAAGAGGAAGAAAACTGGCACAGTCATGTGTCCCCAACCCCTGCACTTGGTACCTGCCAGTGCTGCAGAGCAGAGGCCGTACCTCTTGGGCTCGTATCTCTTCAGCAGGGATGTCTCAAGCGGCACTTCCCATCTCTGTCATCGTCCAGCCATGCCATCATGTTCACCAGCACGTTCTCTCCACCAAGTGTTACTCATCTAGGCAGCTGTCTGCATGATGTCTCGTTCTTTCCTGCCCCCTGTTTTTCTCATTTGTTTCCACTTGTGATTTGTTAAATTATTCTCTGCTTTACAGGCTGATTTCAAATGCCTCAGCAGAAAGGCTCAGATATGTCCCTCAGTTTCCCGTCCTTCACAAGCTTCTCAATTTGCATTTATCGTTCCAGCTCCGAGGTTTTTACTATTGCCTTTGTCTGTTAAAATGTTTCTTCTCTTTGGAGTGCCTGTTTCAACAGTAACTACATATCTCAAGTGTATAAAAATCTTGGTTTTGTTTTGCTTTGCTTTGTTTTGTTTTATGGAACGTAGAATGGGCATAAAACTCAGGGTAGAATTTCACCTCTGAGTTTCTCATGGGTTGAAGGCAAACGTGCTTTACAAGCTAAAGCACTCTTATAAGTACTGCGACTGGTTACAGTCAGTCTGTAGGGGACTTATGACCTTCAGCATCTCTCGATGTGGGTGGCTCACACTGGTTTCCAGAGAAAAAAATCAAAAGTCTTGCATTTACCACAAATGAATGTTAATATTCAAATAACATTTCTAGAAATAATCATACAAAATTGCTTTTAAACCTTGACATTATTGCTGTTATCATACATAAATTTGTGAAGAACCCTGCTAAGAAATACTTAGCTCTGCAAAAATGTGAGCTTTTCATTTATGACTTCAGCAGGTCCTTGAATTTTTCATGAAAGCAAAGCAAAGTGTATTTTCCATGTCATAACAAGGTCAGATCTCTGGAAACTATAAGAAGTTTTTATGCTTATGTTCTTTTTGTTGTCGAATGATTGACATAAAATAATTTTTTTTGGTAGATGTTCCACAAAAGTAACCAACTTACTTTTAATAGTCGTCTTTTTGATGGAGCCACTGAACAGAAGGAAAGACTTGATTCTGGTTAAGGAACTTTTATCCAAAAAGGTTTCTAACTAATTGGCAGTCTTCACATTGTGTTCTGATGATTTAGATGGTTTGTTTTGTTTCAAAATACTGGTATAAATGCAGTCGCCCTACTTCAAATCTGAATTATTCATTTAACTATTATTCATGGAAATGGATGCTTCTGGTGTGTAAACTCCCCATATCAGGCTCCCCTTTTTTTGCAAATACAGTTATCTGAATCCTCACTCAAAAATGAGATTCACTTCATTAAAAATAATAATAATTTTAAAATTCCCTAAACTTCAGGAGGAGTATGGAATGGAGAACGGTTACCCTTAATATTAGGAATTTTTATGTAAATAATTAAATAAGGTTTTTCTAAATGCCAGAGGTTTTTTGTTTTTTGGGTTTTTTCCCCCTACATGACCCATTGAATGCCTCTTATTTCAAATATGTTTTTGTTAAATTTGGTAGAACTTTTAGATCTCTTATTGGTTTAAAATCCAGTTTTGTTTTTTTTTTTCAAAGATGACCGGTAAGGGGATCTTAACCCTTGACTTGGTGTTATCAGCACCACACTCAGCCAGTGAGCGAACCGGCCATCCCTATATGGGATCCGAACCCGGGGCCTTGGTGTTATCAGCACCGCACTCTCCCGAGTGAGCCACTGGGCCGGCCCTAAAATCCAGTTTAAATATGTGCTTCCTTCATTCTTTTTATTTACCTCCAAAGGAAATTTCCATTTTCTGAAATGCTTTTGTAATGGGCATAACCATAAAATGGCTTGGTGCCATTTTCTGAAATAGGGTATTCCAAAGACTGGCAAATTCTGCAAAATAGAGATATACTGAGTACTCTGTACAAACACTACACATTTCAGAAGACCAAAATGCCAATATCGTACGCACAGTCCTTCGCACTAGTCATTAGATGATTCTTAGACGAGGTATTTTGGTTCAGTGGCCTGGTGAGAAACAGGCCCTTTCCCTGTGGCCAGGGACGTGTCAGCCTGTGGGGGATGCACACGTTCCCATCCTCCTTTGACTTCTGATTCATAAGTCAGCTCACGTTTCAGATAGCTTAGTTTGTAGCCAACTCCATTGCATTTTTAATTCCAGGCTCAGAAAGATCTGAAAAAGGACCGTCCTCTTGCACGTCGCAAGTCCGAGCTGCCTCAGGATCCCCACACCAAGAAAGCCTTGGAAGCTCACTGCAGAGCCGACGAGCTGGTCTCCCAGGACGGGCGCTAGCCTCCCGGAGCACAGCGTCTTCTCTGGATTCTGTAGAAAACACATCCTTCTTGTGCCATACCGATCAGTTACACTCACAGTCAAAGCTTTCTTCGACCCTGTTCTGTAGGCAATAACGTTCGTCCGCCTCAGCTCGAGATTAGGGGTTCAAACAATGGTGACTTCTCAGATCCTGTTGGCAGAGCCGTGGGCTGGTGACGGCATCCTCACAATGTCATCACCACCCCAGCATGTCCTAAATAAGACTGTTTCACAAAATCAGAGCTGTAGGAAAGCACCCTGCTCATCACCTTCATGTTCCACCCAGACAGAATTGGTGACCCTTTAAAATAGGTGGTTCCATGAGAATATCAATGTTTTTCAAGTCAATGGAACTCTTTAAAAAGTATTACCTATTTTTTACGACTTTACAACCTTTGAAATTGTTTCCATGTGATCGTTACGCCAGTAGTTTTGTTTGTTTTTTAATCTCACTGAAATGGCTCTTTGCTTTCATGTTCTAACACAACGTACTGGGAAAAGTGACGTGACAATCCTCAGCCGCTGGTGTTGTCTCAGCTGTTTCTTTCCTTTGACAAGCGGCATGTGTGCCACGCCCCACTAATCTTATGTGTACCTAAAGCCATATTTTTAAGTCTGTGGTACAGCACCAGGAAACCCGCAGGAAGCTCGTGGAAGAAATTTATTTTAAAAGAGCTTTCTCTGTCTACCTTCACTAAAATTGGAATTTAAAAATTATGTGTTTATATTTTTATTTGCAGATTTCTTTTAATCTCTTTTTTTTAACACATTGTTGCCCTTCAGCAAGTCTCTTGAATTAGTAAGATGATAGTCTCTTAAGAATTCCACATTTTATAGGAAGTTAGAAGGAAATCATTTTGAGTTAAGCCAGTTCTTGGCCTGATGCCAACTGCGGCTGGCTTGGGGCATGAAGTGCACGCCGGGCACTGCGATGGCGTTCACTTACCGCCACAGCATGGCCCTCACAGGTTAGGGGAGCACCGGCGAGGAGACATTCGGTGCATCTTTTTCTGCTGAAAAGAGCGCACATTATACACACCTCATAAGGAAAGTACAGTGTCTGAGTTTTCGTTAGTCTTCAAGTGCTGCTAGACAGTTCACAGACTTCCCTGCATGTGTGAGCTTTTGTTTTAGATGGAACAGCACAAGGAGAAAAACCTTCACACCTAGCGCTTTGTCTATTCTTTATTTCTCTCAGGGTGGCCAGTATTTTGACTTATTTATCCTGCTTGAAAGCTGCTTGAGATGTGTACTGCTGTTCTCAACAAGTGATTCTAGTTTCTTTTGTGTCTGGCATAAGATTATATAACTTAATGTTAAATGTCTTGATGCATAAAAGATAAAATGTGGCTTCTTTTAGGGTCTGCTTTTTAACTGAGGTCTCGGGTATCCATTAAAAGATCGTGAAAAGCAGACATTGATCCTTGTGCAGCTGTAGTGCCTCCTGCCCATTGGTTTCATTTAAATCCATTGACGTTGTTTCCTTGTGTCTTGAAGGAAAATCATCTGGGGAGAGGGGACTTCTTGTGTTCAGAGCCAGCGCAAGTACTAAATTAAAAGATCGCCCCAGCTGACAGTGGACAGGTCCACTTTGTGAGAACACTTCCTGAGAAACTTGACAAGTATCTATCCATTTTACCATTATGAAATCTATAATTTAAAAAAAAGTTTAGATGCCTTCTCCTTTTGAGGGAAAAAGGGTGCTTCTTATTGTATAAAGCAGCGTCTTATGTATTTTGATATACCATTGTTTGAACTTCTGTCTTTAGCTGATAGATCCTCAGATACCCTTGATTGTGGGTGTTCAGTATGTTTGTGAGAGAGGTTTCTGGGAAGCCTCTTTTTTTTTTTGCCCTAGGGAAAAGCAAAATATCAATGTTTGGATGATTGTGTAAAGCTCAACACGTAAGAACATCTTTTGTCTAGATTTTATTTCTGCTCTTTATTGAAGACAAACACTCACCAAAAAGGAAAAAAAAAAATAAGTTTTGAGAGAAACTAATTTTCTTTGGCAAGAGTATTACTTGATATTTTGGCCTATTAAAGTTTCCCTAGTTAGTACTCGGATTCTCTAGGCTAATTCTTCAACTTCTGTGTTATTATATAGATGCACTGTTTCATCTGTACCAAACTGATTTCAAAAGTACGACATTGAAACAAAACTGGTGACTGTTTTTCTTCATAAAGTTCTGCGTTTGGCCTCTTCACTCTTTCCAAAACGTATCTATACATCAGAAATGTCACTACTCCGAGTGTCTTTTTAGTGTGGCTTTAGTATGGCTTCCTTTTAATATTGTACATACATTGTATCTTTGTTTTATGGTAATAAGTAATAAAAATGTAGACTTCATATTTTGTACAAAATGTCCTATGTACAGAATAAAAAAGTTCATAGAAACAGCAAAAATAGGTAAGTGGCACAATTATTTTTCTTTAGAAAATATCTGTAACTTTATGTTTTAGTGAAATGTCAAGTACCTACATATTTTTTAACATTTTGTAATTCAAAACTTTTTGTTTTGACATTGTTTATGAAGAGAAACTTCATACACTTGCCATTTAATATACTCTTTTATCTAATTTTTAAAAAAACCTCTAAAACATGGTGTATTATATGGACTAAATAAAGAACATGTGAATTTTATTGCTCATCATGAAACTAAATTTAGCCATGGTATTGGGCAAGCTGGTTCTGACATTATCAGGTTGCTGTTAGGTCAAGGGCCGGCCACATCAGGGACACTGGCTTGAGGACGCAGGAGCCCTCTGTCCAGCCCACCTTCGAGTGCCTGCCATGCATCAGCAACTAGTCATGGCCCCTCAAAGCTAATTTGTTTTTTCTTTTTTCGGTGGCTGGCCGATGCGGGGATCCGAACCCTTGACCTTGGTGTTGTAACACCGCACTCTAACCAACCAAGCTAACCGGCCAGCCCTCAAAGCAATTCTATAAGCTAATTTTTTCTTCTTTAATGGAAAAAGCAAAAGTGACTTTTTATGTAAGTAAATGAAAACCAGCATACACTTTGTAGAAATTGGATTATTTGAACCCTATTTATGATGTGTAAAAATTATTGAAGAGAAATTAAAGTCTGGAAAATCAGGTAGCATTGCTGAGAATATGAATTTGAGATCCTCACTAATCCACCTCCTTAGTGAGGAGATTATTATCCTCATGATGCTGTTACTGAAAAGTTCATGAAAACAGGACTAAAGTTCTGTTTGCTCAGGTCGTTGTGATGAGCCTCCCCTCTCCTTAGTTGCATTTGATCAGCATGCCAGCAGGTACGTAACAGATGAGCTCTTTGGGGCGGGTTATGACCCTTGCCCTTTAGTTTCCTTGTCTATCAAATGGCCTCTTGACTCCCTCTCACTAACAGAAATGCAGAAGCTGCAGTGAGTGCGGCCTTGGGGCTTCCCCATGTGTCTTTAGTCTTCGGCGTACGCATCTGATGGCTTTGTTGGAGATCTTGAAGAGCCACACAAGCCCCAGTTCCACCTCAGAGCAGCCATGCAGGTCAGGAGACTAAATCTGGTGCAGCTGCTCAAATCGCTGTTTTCTCAGATTAGCGGTCCACCCTGTCTTCCTTGTCTCCCATCTTGAAACCGGGGGAAGCTATAATGTTTAGTAACCTCCTAAAGTGGGAGAATTTTGAGAGAACTTACCAGAGGCATGCTATGATTTAAATCCAGCTATCTGCTGCTCTTATTTCAGGGTAGCAAGAGGCCTAAAAGCAAAATTGAACTGCTTTTGTGTGTTCTTCCATGAGAATGGGTATTACCCTATCAGCAGTAATGACAAGAACTAGTATTTCTCACCCCTGCCTTTAGGCCAGGGGTCAGTGTAGGTGAATTTACTCAGTTCTCACAACACACCATAGTATTTGCCACTCTCATTCTCACTCATGAATAAGGAAACTGAGGCACCCAAATGTTATATCATTTTCCCAAGTTCACACAATTGAGTGGAGCCAGGTTTCTGCCCAACCAGTGTGGCCCCAGGGTTCAAGCCCCCATTCACCAGGTAATGAATGCGGTAGGAAAACCCTAAGCCTTTCAAGGTTGAAGGGTGACCAAGAGCACATGGTGGGGCCCCAGGTCTGCTCCTCACGACCATGTTACCCAGCAGAAACGTCTAGGACTATCCAGAAGCCAAGCTTCTCCCCGTCGGTTACCCTGGGATGAGGGACAGCCAGGCTGGAGCTGAACTGAGCTTTATGATGTGTATTTTTGTAGGATGATGTGCAACTAACCGATGACTAGTCAATCCAAGTTTTTTTTCACCCATCTTAATTCCTGTGATAGAAGCAGCCAATAACAGATGCTTTTGCTGAACATTCAGCACAATTGTGATGGGAAAAGAACAGGAGAGGAGCAAGGTTCTTAACCCCAGGGAGCCAGGCAAGGTCCAAAGGAGCCCATTATTATATAGGTGCACTTTGTATAGCCAATGCGTCTGCCTCCCAGAAGTATTTGATTCTCTCTGCTACTGCATAACAGAGCCCACAAAATCTGGGCTGAACCCATGGCTTCATTGAGTGGCTGGTCTTGAGCTGAAAGCAAATAGCAATATATATAATAAGTGCTGCTATTGAATGAATTGTTTTAAGGCAACCTTTTTTCAATGTCAAAATTTCGATGATTTTATAGTGAAATTTTTTGCTGGGAAACCTAGAGATTCCTTCTTTCAGAATTGTTTCTTCTCGGGTTTCAGAAAGACTTGAATAAAAAGACTACCACATAGAATGAAATAATAATTAAAGGCCCCACACTGCAGAGAAGGTGGCATAAGAATAGCATGGCAGGCAGAGAAGAGAAATAGTGCCCACCAGAAGCAGCACTGTGCCAGAGGCTTTGAAGACCCAGTAGAAGGGCTGCTGCAATGTTCAGGAAGTCTCCAACTATCTCAGGTTCGAGAATTCCCTATGAGGACTCACAGAGGTGAGTAAAGCTATTAAACTCCCGGTTAAAATGTATGACAGTAAAAGAACACAGATGAAAATTAGCCGCAGGAAAAGATGCACAGGGCAAGGTTGTCCAGGAGAGACTGTGCTGGGCTTGGAACTGCCAGTTGTCCTCTGTCTAAAGGGTCATGTGGCAGTGCCAGCTTCTCCCAGCAACAGCATATGGTGGCACATGTAGAGAACTGCCACTAGGGGAGTTTGCCCGAGTCTTGGTGCTCAGAGTTTTATTGGGGGTTCATCACAGACACGTGGCTGACCTGCGTGTCAGCCTCTCCAGAGACTGAGCCAATACCCTGTGGCCCACCGAGAACCCCACCATAAGGCCTAAGCCCCCAAGGTAAACAAAGGAAGGATATTCAGAGGTCTTAGCATCTACCTCCAGAAGCTGGAAGCAAAGGCCGATCTCTCCTTGGACAAGGTTAATCCTTTCCTAAGCAGCTGTCCTCACCAGGAAAGGAGATGGAGTGCAGGCAGGTTCTGATGTCAAGGAGGGTCGGCAGCTCCATCGGTCTAATAGGGCCCTCCCTGGCTCAAAGATCTTCCCACTGTATGGCCACACACAGCCAGAGGAGGGGCTTCTGGACCAAATTGTGAGAACTGCTTTCCAGTTGATCCATTTGAGAAAGTATAGTCTTCCAGAGATGAGACTAAACCTGCTGAGGAAAAGAAGGAACAGAACCTACAGAGTATGGGCCATTCTCAATAACTCAGGGAAGAGTTCAATACCTTTAAAGAGCTGAGAGATGGCTTTTACTTAATATCGACATTAAATAAGTATGGGAAATACACCTAGCTTTATTTTTTTCCCCTTCAACTTAGAGTCTGAATGTGAAGGAAACACATTCATTTCTCAATCAGCATCTGGTATGGTCTAGTTGGCAAAGGACATGTTGGTTATAAGCAGTGGAATGAGAAGTCTGTAGAGAACCCAAGAGTCTGTGTCTCCCTGAATTACCAGTCTGGCAATGTAAGAGCTCAGGCGAAGTCTCTGGAGAGCATAAATCTCAAGCACAAGAAACTTCAAGGACTCCATTTATTCATTCATTCATAATATAATGAACACCCACGGCCCCACTGCCCAAAGTAAGACCTAGTAGGGAAACAGTAACTACCACTCTCACTAGCATTTTTTTCTAGCCTGGAGATGGGCATTCGTCTGATCACAAGCTGCTCAGGATGGGAAGAGACTCACGGCCATGTTCTGCAACCCCATGGCTTCGTCAATGAGGAGTCCCAGGATCCTGGAGACCCAATGTCTCAAACACCAGTTAGTGTAGCAACAAGGCTGGACAGACTCGAATCTCCCAACTCTTGGCCCCATACTTATGTCCACATGGCACCAAGGTGAGATCCTAAATCTGCTCCTCCAAAGTTGACACTGGAGCCAGTGACAGATCCCTAATGACCAGGAGGACATGGAGAGCAGGCACGGGTCCTCATGACCAGTATACAAACCAGTTCAGAGGATGATGGTGTTTCCACATCCTCACCAAAATAAGAAAAACGAGCAATAGAGTCAGTTCCTCAGAAAACTGACTTAATTTAAAGAACTATCCTTTTTCTAACATGCTTTTCCTCCACTTTTAGCATTGAAATACACCCTTAGGAAATGTCAAACATAAATAGTTTCTTTTACAATTCCCTACTTGAAAAAATTGGGCAATACTGTGTCCCCCACAAAACAAATTTTAATGATACCATACTGATCTGCTTTCTGACCTATGAAGTCCAAAATTCCAGTAATCCCTTGTCTAATTTAAGCCCCTTGTTTTATAGAAAATGAAATAGACTCAGAGAAAGGAAAACCTCATAATTAGTGAATGCTAGAAGCCAACACAGGTATGTGTTTAATAAGATCCCACAGAACTGTGTATTCTTATATTGAATAAAATAGGCCTTAAACCAAAAACTATAAAAAGAGACAAAGAAGAACATTATATAATGATAGAGGGATCTATCCACCAAGAACACATAACCATTAATATATATGCACCCAACATTGGAGCACCCAGATATATAAAACAAACACTACTAGACCTAAAGAGAGATATAGAATCCAATACAATAATAGATGGGCACCTCAACACCCCTCTGTCAACACTGAACAGATCATCTAGGAAACAAAATCAATAGAGAAACATAGGATTTAACCTACACTTTAGACTAACTGGACATTGGATATCTACAGAACATTTCATTCAACAACTACAGAATATACATTTCTTCTCATCAGTACATGGAACATTCTCCAGGATAGACCACACACTAGGTCACAAATCAAGTCTCAACAAATTTTTAAAACTTGAAATTCCAAATATCTTTTCAGACCACAATTGATTAAAACTAGAAATCAATAACAAGTGAAACTCTGGAAAGTATACAAATAAATGGAAATTAACATGCTCCTGAATGACCTATGGATCAAAGAAGAGATTAAACAGAAAATTTAAAAACTTCTTGAAATTAATGATAATAAAGACACATCATACCAAAACCTATGGGATACTGCAAAAGCAGGACTAAGAGGGAAATTTATTCAAATAAATGCTTAGATCAAAAGAACAGAAGGACTTCAAATAAACAACCTAACGTTACACCTCAAAGAACTAGAAAAACAAAAATTATCTGATCCCCAAATTACCAGATGGAAAGAAATAATTTAGATCAGAGCAGAACTAAATGA